ACAGCGGTCGCACGCAAGCCCGCCAATGCCAGCGACGCCGCGGCTAGCACCCCTGCCATGCCTACCCCGTCGACCAATTACATCACAACGGCAGATGCAGATCTCGGCAGGATGGCGGCCAGCAGACCGAGAAGATGCTTGGGGCGACAACCGCATCAAGCTTGCGCTCGCCAGTGTATGGCAACCGGCGCAGACGGCAGCGCGCGCCCGCCCTCCGCCTCACGAAGCAAATCTCCCACGCATTACATAGGCCCACCGAACGTTGCCGGAAGGCTTGGAGAGTCACGGGCAGCGCCCGAAACATGCGAGGCAACCGCCAAGGACGACGGCGAAACCTCCAGCGCAGAGCTACTGCCCAGGACAGCAAGACCCTCTCAATGACTCCGCCCCGCGTCGGCAGAATAGCCGGGGACCCTGGGCCGCGCCACCTCGCGCGTCGACTTGACCGCCCAATCTCCGATGACGACGACACATCGTGCACCGCCGACCAGGCGGCGCATAGGCAGTGACTGAGCGGCCGCGCCCAGCTGTCTGAAGTTCCCATCATGCAAACCGACGAATCTGCCCTGCGTAGCGCGGCCGCACCAAGCTGCCGCGCAAACCGACGAATCTGCCCTGCGTAGCGCGGCCGCACCAAGCTGCCGCGCGACGGACCGAGTCACGCGCGCCCTCATCGCTATCACGAAGGCCCGGCAAACCCTCGAGGATAACCCTAGGCGGGACACCCGCGAAGCCCCGCCACCGCACGGGGGGGGGACATCCCAAGGGCAGGCACCGCGGGGGAGCACGGATGATCCGACTCCGCGCAGGACAACACGCGGCACATCAGCGGGCCAGTCATCACCACCACCCGCGGGGCCCGACACAACATCTATATATATATATATATATATATCTATATATATACACACACATGTCTGCAGTGGCGCTTCGCGCCATGCACGTTGGTCCTTGAAGTTTGGTATGCAGGCGGAATAGCAGGAAGGTCAAGCCGACAATTTAGCGATAATTCCTGGTTGCCTTTTCTGGCATCGCCTCTATGATAATGTTATTCGTTATCCTTCCTCCATGCTTATTTTCCTTTTGTTTGCCATGCCCCGCATTCTTCCCGTCCTTCTGAACTCTTCTTTGCGGAGGCTCTTCCTTGGAGAGCCTCTAGGGGCCTCACAAAAGTTGGTTCAGGCTTTCTTAACGCCTTCTGGAGACCTCCTGGGCGTATTCTGCGGCCTCCGGGGGCTTCCTCGGGCCACCCTGCCTCCAACCGCGGTCTCCCTGAACGACCGGGTCACGTTTTGGAATTCTTCGGAGGGTGTCTTTGGGCCATCTTGGACCGCCATGGGGCTCTCTGAAGGCCATCTTGGACCCGTGTTGTGCCGTTTTGGGGGTCTCTTGGACTGCCCGGAGACCCTTTCGGATGGTTGTGGGGCGATTTGGGAGCCTCCCAGGCGGCTTCGGACGCCCAGAAGACCGCCGTCTTGGAGCGTCGGGAAGCCGAAAAGAGGAGAACCCTAAAATTCACCAAACACCGACAGAAAATCAATGATTTTTGCCTCGGGGGGCCTTCTTGGGAGTGCTCTTGGAGGCCTCTTTGGGGCCGTCCTGGAGGCCTCTGGGGCCATCTTGAGGTCACGTCGGTCACTCTTGGAGCGCTCTTGTGCTGTCTTGGGGGTCTCTGGGGCGTCTCCGAAAATCCCCCTGATCGCCCTAGGTGTGCTGGGAAGGCTTGGCAAAACGCCATGTGAGGCCCGATGGCCACTTCGAGGCCCGTCTGGAGGGTCCCAAAGCCCCAGATCCTGGGAGTCCGGTTTTGGGGGGGGAGGGGGGGATGGGGTTTCCCCCCGCCTGGGCTTAGAAAAATATAGGAAGAGGAATATAAATATTCTAGAATGGCGAACGCCTAAAATGACGTTCGTCCAGGCCACCATCGCACCGTCGGTCGCGCAAGCTTCCTGCTGCTTCATTTGCCACATGTGTTGTGCTGGTGGCATCTTCTTGCTCAGTGGCAAACTCACGGGGTGGGTCCTAGACGCCTCAGCTATGCGATCCCCCCCACCCGCGTGCACCAGGCCAAACCAGGACCGGCGCGATGGGCACGACCCCGCCGCCCAAGCACCGCTGCTGACTGACGCCTCCACGGAGTGGCGCGCGCCACCAGAGTGGATCAGCAGGACAACGCACGCGGCTGAACACCGACCCAACGCCACATACGACGCCAGCCCAATCAACACACCCGGAGGGCGTGGCCGCGTGCAAAGCGACAGAGGTGGGATAACTATCCCGCGCTCCCGTTCTCGCCGCACTCACGGACCCCCGCCAACAGCCCCGCCAACGCGGAAGCCGCGACCCCCGCAGAAGACAGGGCGACGTCCACCCCCCCTATCCCAACGCCCCAAGGCAAGCCCTTAACGATTCAGCGCGAACCTGCTGTTCCGAACCTGCCACGGCACCTCGCCGCGACCGTCGTGACACGCGGCCAGGCAGCCTGCGAACATGCTATTGACGTGCAGGCAATTCACGAGGCCCTCTCGCTGCCAAGTGCCAACCGCAACCTTGGCCCTACCGCCGCGCCGGTGGAACCTGGCCCGCCGTCGCGGGGAAGTCGCCATCGCACGTGACATCGGTACTGAAGCCATCCCAGGATCCAGGCGACACCGCGTGCCCATTCTTGACCTGCAACGCCGCCAACCACCCACTGGACGTACTGGGCCAGCGGCGCCGACCGCGGTCGCGCCCGCGGGGTGCACTGCGACCGCGACCCCCGACTGCGATGAAGATCGGGCGCCAGGCCAAGGGGGTCCACATTGGGCGTCGAAGTACGTCTCCCCGTCGTCGTCGTCGTCGTCGTCCCCCTTCAAGGTCGGCGGCACTGGCCGCAATGCCGTCCCAGCATTGATTCTATGCCCCACACAACAGTACACACTCCCGCTTGTCGCTGCCCTCCTCGACGCCCCCGGATATCCCTCGGGCGTTGGCAGAACTGGGTTTCGTGGGACCCGGTTTACTGACGTGTACTTGGGGACGCCCCCCCCCCGCCCCGCTCCACTACCCGGAACTGCCGCCACCCGACAAAACACCAGCTACGGCAGACCTGGTTTAGTGACTCTGGCCCATTGAGGGGCTCCCGGGGCCCACCACCAACCGGGTCCTCTTACCTGGGGTCCTGGCTGTACCCGAGTCCCGTCGGAGGCCAACGCCTCCGGTCGGGGGTTGTCGAAGCTGCTCCTACAGTGGAGGCCCGTCCACAAGAAATCTTCCACAAGAAACCCAACCCTGAACCCCAGGCAGTCCATCGATTTTTGGTGTGGGAACGTCATGCTTACCATAGCAAAACCATCGAAACCCACGAAAATCAGGGCACCATGGAGGCAAGCAGGGTGTTTCGTGGCCTGGGCCCCCACTGTATGGCGTCCTGGGGCCACTGGGCGGCGTCCTGGGGCCACTGGGGTCCCCTGGGCCTCAGGAGGAGCGCCCTGGAGACCACCTGAGGCTTCAATAAAATCCCGTCGACGATGACGAGGGTGACGACGACGACGACGACGACGACGACGACGACGACGACGAGGGTGACGCGGGTGACGACGACGACGACGACGACGACGACGACGACGACGACGACGACAACGACGACGACGACGACGACGACGACGACACTGAGACCAACTAGAGACAACGGCGGCTCGCCCGCCTGGCCGACACTCCCGAGGTCCATGTTGACCCGTTGTGCGAACGAGATCCCGCCATTGCCACGAGAAGCCTCCAAAAATAAAAGGCAAATGAACCTGCCTCGATTCTGACCACCCTCGCTTCCAAAAGATGCTAAACGATACCGAACTACGGCCCGCACCAGTCAAACCGCTTCACGAGGAGGCGCGTGGTATGACTCGGTTCTGCATGGAAGCGAAAGCGGGGTAGGTAACTCACGCTCTGAAAGAAGCCCCGCCACCTCCCACAAAACACGCACACACACACACGCACACACACGCGGACACACACACACACACACACACACACACACACACACACACACACACACACACACAAACACACACACATACACACACACACAAAAACGCACACGCAAAAAAACACCACAGAAGGCGCTGAGTCTCGACTGGCCCGCCTCCGAATCGGGGCCCCCCTGGAAGAAATGGGGCCCTCCTTGGGGGTCCGAAAGCGGTGCGCCGGCAGACCGTGCGGTGACTTTGAAATCCGCAAAAATCTCGCCGCACGATCTGTCTCCCGCGCAGTCTTGGGACCAAGGCCCCCGTCGTCCGAGATGTCCCTTGAGAACTGCCCAAGTCCTAAAACCGCGCGGTGTTCCCGAATCCATTAGGAAGCAACTCCTGTCCTGGAAAGATTTCCAAGGAACGATCACGGGCCAGATTAAACCAGAGCGCGCCCAGCTTAAGGCCCGAAAAAGCCGGAGTGTTTTAGGGAAAATCAAGCAGGACTATGCTGGATTAGGCTATCCTTCGACCACGTATGTACTGGCGCCGATGCTGAACTTCCCCTCCCAGGAGCTGCATCCTGAAATCCCCACTGATCCAGCACACCTGTCGGGGGTTCCCGACACCCTACTGACATAAGCGTGGAGATAAACTTTCGGAGGTCCGCCCAAGTTTCTCCAATTAGCGCCGGACCCCCTTCCCTGGCGCGCGGAGCGCCCCAGGGGCGGCGCCGGAGGCGCCGTCAGGGGGCTCCAGCGCCGATCCGGGAAGGCAACGCGGACCTGCGAAACGTTCTACTCACGTCATTACCCCAGATTTCGTAATAAAAGGGAGGGGGTCACAACCCTCCCAGACGAGAAGTCTCAGACCCCCCCAGACCATCCACGAAAGGGCGGCCCTTTGCCCAGACCCCCCCGAGCCTTCCAAGACAGCTCAAATCAGACCCCTCCCAAAATGTGACCCCCCCCCACTGTATTATGGAATCCGGAGTATGTGTTCCCCGACCATTGGGACAACGCCACCTCCGGTAACACCTTATCCGGCCCCCTGGGCCTACTGCGCTGGAGCCAGCAGCGCGATGGGCTCGCGCGGCCGCGGTGCTGGAAGCTCCAGCTGGGCCTCCCTCCATCCCTCTCAGCTGCAGGGGGGCGGGAAGAACGGGGGATAGAGAGAGAGATATAGAAAGAGAGAAAGAGAGAGAGAGAGAACAACAAAACAAGAAAAAGAGAGAGAGAGAGAACAAACAACAACAATCACAAGAAGAGGGACGAGGAGGAGGAGGAGGAGGAAAAGAAGAAGAAAGACTCGGCCTCGCGCGCGGCCACAGTCGGACGTGGTGATCACCGACCAGACCGCTCGACTTCAAGCTAAACCGCACGCAACCTTACCCGTTTCGGGTCGATTTGACGCGCTGGTTTTCGCGCGCCGTGAGGAGGGGGAGGAGGAGGAGGATGGATGGGCCATCATCAAAGATGGAGGACGAGGAGGAGGAGGATGAGGACGAAGAGGAGGAGGAGGACGCAGACGAGGAGGAGGAGGAGGAGGAGGAGGAGGAGGAGGAGGAGGAGGAGGAGAGGAGGAGGAGGGAGGGGGGGGAGGAGGAGGAGGAGGAGGGAGGAGGAGGAGGAGGAGGAGGAGGAGGAGGAGGAGGAGGAGGAGGAGGAGGAGGAGGAGGATGGATGGATGGGCCATCGTCAAGAAGGCTTTGGCCGCCGCCCGCAAGCGGACGACACCCGGGTCCCAGATGTCGGTTGGGTCCCGCGCCGCCGCCGGCGCGCCGCGGAGGACGCCGCGGAGGGCCCCGAAGCAGCCCAGACAGGCCTCCGTCCGACCTGGGCCTGCCCCGAGGGCAATCCAATTCGGACGCCCGGAATGGATACGGAAAGAATGGGTACAATGCCCAACAGCAGTTCCTGTTCGTTCTGAACAGGCCTCGCTGTCGGTGTCGCCGCGGCCTGTGTCCATTTGAGACAGAAGGCTGCCTGCCCAACCGCGGCCACTGTTGGTTTGGGACAACATTTGTTGTTGAGCATTGCACCCATTCTTTCCGTACACATTTCGGGCGTCCAAATCCAGGGAGGCGCAAGCCACCCCCGCAGAAACAAACGCGGGCCCCCCCAGCGGCCGCCATCGGCCGCCCCCACACCCCGACGGGGGAACGCGGCGCCCCCCCAGACACACGCAGAGGGGTGCCGCACCAAAATTTCGAGGCGAAGACAGCAGGACAGAGCGAGGGCACGCCCTACGCTCACCTCCCGCGCGTCGCCGCCCTGGCCTGCCTGGCCTCCGCGGCGAGGTGAACCCGCTTGACCGCCTTCGCCTGCTCCAGCTCCCTGGCCATGCTGTCGAGCGGAGCCCCGTACCGCTAGCGGTCGGCTATGGCTCAGGTCTGGAACATGTGCCTCTGCAGCACCACGAGGCGCCGCCTCCCGCTGACGACCGCGCGCTCGTCGAACGGGTCGTCGGAGGCGGCATCGCGCGGGCCATCTCAGGGTCGGCCCAACAGGGAGCACTCCAGGGGTCCAGCACCTCGACGTCCTTCGCGTCGCCCACGCCCTCGGCGATCACCTCCGACTCCTGCGCGTGGCAAGAGACGTCGGCCTCCAGCGCCGCAGCCTCCAAGATGGCAGCGGCTCCTCCTCGCTGGGGTCAGCGCCACCTGCGCGCGCACCAACTCCATCGGGATGGACAGACGCCCCCCCGCAGCTTCAGGAGCAGGGTGACCACCATTCCCTTCTCCTTGTTCAGCGCCGCAGTGAAGACCAGCACGGGCGGCGTCGGACGCCAAGTCGGTGCCGCTGCTCCTGCAGACCATCTCGGCATCCCACGCCCACCAGCGGGCCCCGTTCGAAATCAAACAGGTGGTGGCGACGGCGCCCGGGGTGGCCATTCCTTGCGGCGCGGCGCCGCAGGCACCCTGGCAGGCGGTGCGAGGCCGCCGGCGCGCGCTGCACATGCAGTGGGCGGAGTGCTGCGCGCAGCGCGGCCGCGCCCCGCCGCCACCTCCACCCAAACGGTAGGCGCCGCGTCGAACGCCGAGCCGCTGGCAGCCGCCGATGCAGCAAAAGCCACCTCCACGACGGTCTGGGCCTACGCGGTGGCACCGCAGCCCGCCGCCCTGCTGGTGCCTTGGCGCCAGCGCCGGCTGCCCCCCGCGGAACTCGATTGGGCTCGCGCTGGGGCAACGCGCGCACGACCGCGGCGGGAAGGGCGGGGTGGTGGGGGACCACGCTGCGCCTCCCCACCTCGATGACGCTCGCACCCGTGCCGTCGACGTTGGCCTTCAGCGCGGGCGCGACGATCGCCAGGCGCTGCACGAGCTCAGCCGCCGCGGCCGTCGGACCACGAGCACCGCACGCGGCCCCCACTCCATCAACCTCGGCTCCGCCGCGCGCGGGGGCCGAGGCGGCCCAGGAGGCAGCAAGGGCTGCGGCCTCGCCGGCCGCCAACGCGTGGCGCAGGTCAGCTTGCAAGCCCTCCACGAACGCCTCGAAGTCGAGGACCCGCCGCAGCGCCGCCGCCAGGCGCCCAGCCGCAGCCCCGCGGGCGGCAGCTTGCCTGGCGCGCCGCGTCGGCCACGGCGACGTCGCAGCCCCTGCACCCTCGGGGAGCTTCGCCGCCGCGTCGGCTACCCTGCTCCCGCCCGCAGCCATCCCCTGGGAGCCATCGCCGCCGCGGCAGAGACCCAACGTTGCCACCCGCCTGGCGCCCGAGGCAGACTTGAGCCAAAATGGCTACGGAGGAGCAGGGGGAGGAGGAGGAAGAAGATGAGGAGGAGGAGGAGGAGGAGGAGGAGGAGGAGGAGGAGGATCATCACCTAAAGGTTCAGGGCGGTGGAGGCGCACCCAGGGGTAGCAGGAGGGTTCCAGAGGGCCAGCGGTGGCTCTGGAGGGTGTGGTCCACGGGGGCCCTGGAAGGGGATGGGGAGAGGATTGGGACGACCCTGGGCCCTGGGGGAAGGGAAAGGCGTTCGGGGGAGGCTTGCCAAAACACCCTTCAGGGAAGACGCCCTGGGGACCAAACTCCGCGGGCGTAAGCCTGCGAAAGTGGTGCTTATAGCAGTCGGCCCACGATGGCCGAGCTCCCCGGCGCGCCATCCCGGTGCTCGAGGCGCCAGAGCATCGAGGAACACGCCGGGCCGGTCGGCAGGTCGGCGCTCAAAATCTTGGCTGCGGGCCCCCTCGCTGGAGGGGCCTATGGGGCTGAGATTTTGGGCACCTCGGATCAACGGCTCCTTCTCATGCGGCGCCAAGCTTTCTCCACTGATCGCCCCTTTGCCAGGAGTAGGTCCCTCACTGCTGTCAGCATCCTCTCGGATGACTCTTGCTGGAGAGCGGCCTGCGCTCCAATCGTGCGTTGGAGCAGAGAGATGTGGATTGCCCACACGCGCGTTTTTGCTGGGTCTCTGTCGCTTGCCTTGTTGCGCGCCGCGTGGCACGCGGTGTTCTCGCAGGGGCGCGTGACTTGGCCTACGGTCAAGGGACCCCTCTCCTCCCTCCGCCTCTCGCTCCTCAGGCTGGGATGGAGAATGCAAGATTTCATGACCATTGTTGATGATCGAGGTTATCCGTTCCCCTTGGCCTCACCTCTCCCAAGTTCCTTGAAACTCTGTGTAGGGACGCTTACATGCGAGGACTGGGAAGATATTTAGGTGGGAAGTGGGATGTGGGGAAAAGGATGTGCTTGGACATTCCTCGTCTCAGAGTTGACGCCAGCCCAGCGAGGCTGGATCCGCGCTTGCACTAGTTGTGCTATCTGGACGGCCGATCGTGCGATCGGCTGCGGCTACGAAGTGGACCCGCTGTGCCCTCGCTGCCGACAGGAACCCGACTCCATCCTCCACCAGATGTGGAAATGCAGCGACCAAGAAGTTGCCGAGCTGAGGGCTCAGCTGGTCCCCGCCTCGGTGGTAGATGAAGCCATTGCGGCCCTGACTGCTGAGGCCACCAGCGAGGTCATCTGCTTATACTCTCGAGGAGCTTTCGCTCATCCCGCCGACTACCTGCCGAGGCCTGCCCTGGAAGGCACCAGTGCCCCGCAGTACGCTAGGCGTCGCACTGAGCTTGAAAGCCCCGAGGGTCGCAGGGCCGCGACCAACGGAGAAATGTGGGGCCACCTTTCATTTGATGGCTCGTGCCAGACCCATCCTGTCCGAGAGCTTTCTCGCGCCGCTTGGGCTGTCGATATGAATTCGGATGACGGGGAGTGCCCTGGAGAGGTGCGGGGCCCTGTATGGGCTCATCTGCCGCAGACGCCACAGGCTGCGGAGTTTTCGGCCCGTTGTGTTGTCTCACAGTTCGTGGTGTTCCCCTCTACGATGTATTCGGATTGTGCGAATGTCGTGCACCAGTGTCGGCTGCCTGTGCCCGACGGGTACTCGGGTAAACGAGCTTACTCGTGTATGATTTTCCAGGCCAACATCTTTGAACAGCAATTAATTAGAGAAAAGATCAAGGTGAAAACCCACCTTGATGTAAATGCTGCTGGTATCTCGGAGGGCGACCGGTTTTAAGGAAGGATATGTCAGAAGCGGACGCGGGAGCCAAGCATGGGTTCGAGCTCCACCCGTCGTCGGAAGACGTTTCTGATCTTGTCGATGCTGCTCGTGCGTACTGCATCCTCGCTGCCAACCTGTTGCCGCTCTGGCCGAAGCTGTCCTTAGATGTTCCATTCTCTCCGCCCCCGTCGGCGCCGAGCGGCTCGTCGGCTCCGCAGGTGCCGCATGGGTGGGAGAGATGGTCGGGGATCTGGAGGTGTGCTGTATATCTCAGCGGGAGGCGCGCAGGTAGCATGCCACCTCCAGGCCATTGTGCGAATGTTTCTACGTTGCGTGCCGCTCAGCAGCAAGAATTAGGCCACCGCGCGGTGGCTTTCCCGTGCTCGGACGGATCCGTTCTCTTCACCTGCCTGCGCTGCAAGTGTCATTCCTCGGGATCCTCGGCTCGAGGCTTAGCCGAGCGCTGCACGCCACGGCCAACGCGTGCAGCCTTTTATGGATGGGGGTACCTTTGCAAAGGTAAGCCCCCCCAGTACGCCTTCAGAAAGCGAGGCGTCACGGCCTTCAGATACTATGCAGTCGAATCTCTGCGCGAGCAGGAGGTGCCTGCTCAAGAGGAGCAGGCAGCGCCTGCTCAAGCTGAGCTGGTGAAGCCTGCCTCAGCCCCGCCAGCCGCGGCCGAGCGCTCTCTGTGGGATGAGGTCGACAGTGAGTGGCTCGAGGCCAATTCGGGAGGAGCAGCCTGGCCTCCACAGGAGAGGTGATCGGCCTGCCCTCGCTCCTGCAGGTCCCGCATTGCAGGAGTCAGTCATCAGCGGTGCGAGCGTCGAGCTCAAAAAAATCCTCCTCCTCCTCCTCATTCCTCCTCCGCCGGAGGGAGGAGGACGATGGCGAGGAGCGCCCCGTCGCCCCCAGCCTGCGGCTCCAGCAGCGGCGCCGACAGCGCTCGGAGCGGCGGCGCTGGGAGCGCCAGTCGGGTGGCCTCGGGGAGGTCCCACTCCCGCCTCGCCACGCCGTTGTTATAATGACTATGACTGGGCGCCCTCATCATGATTATCGGCCCTCCTGCTCGTCGTCGTGACTGGGCGCCCTTTGGAGCAGCGCGCAGGAAGACTCCCTCGCGCGCGCGCGCGTGCAGTGCTGCTGCGCCCCGTCCCTCTGCCCCCGTCGTCGTCCACGGTGTGCCTGCTGTCCTTGTGGTGGTGTTGTGAGACCTGTTGCTGTCTCGCTGTTTCGCGCTCTCTTCGATCTCTCTCTCTATATACATATAGAGAGAGAGAGAGATCCCACTTGCTTGTTTGCGTTTGTGTGTGTATGTGAATATCGGAGGTTGGGGGGTGAGATCGAAGTGGAACGGAGAGCCCCCCACCGGGAAATCGGTGTCGGTTTCGTGTTCGTGCGTGGCGTGCGTGCGGGCGAGGCGAAGCTGCGTGGGCGGGCGAGAGGAAAGTCTCCTGTGGCTGAGGCGCGGCCGGACCAAATGATTCTCCCTCCGGCAAGCGGTGGCCCGCGGTGGCCCGCCGGTGTCCCGCCGGTGTTCAAAGACGGTTCCAAGAGGGTGCCCAGACTGAAGACCCTGTGAGCTTTCGGTGTCAGAGGGGGTCCCCCACGAGGCCCCAGGCGAACCCAAGGAACCGCCAGGAACCCCAGGGGGTCAGACATTCGCGGGGCTCTTGGGCACCGCTTGGGGGGCACGCGTAGCCTCTTGGGCACTCTTGGGAGCGTCTGATCCCGACCTCCCCGAATGCCTCTTCAATCGTGAGGTCGTCGTCCAGGGTCGCCGGAACTGGCCGTAAGGCCTTCTTAGCAGTCCTCATAAGTGACGCAATGACAACTGCCCCGCGAGAGCAACACTTACAACACATGCGGCACTTACCCCCGTGCTAGCAGTGGGCTGCACCCAGCTGTATTCGGGAGCGGCCACAAGGGGGGGGTCCAAGAGGGGGGGGTGCAAATCATGACCGGCAGCACGTGCGCGGCCCAGCGGGGTGGCCAGGGACGCAAGGAAATGAGAAGAGGCGTCATGAGATCTGGGGAAATATCATGGCCCACGCCAGGATGTCCAACCCCCCCTATAGGCATCACCCACCCTCTTTGCTGACTACCTACCAGACCACCCCAACCCAACCCGAAGACCCGAATTTCGGGTTGGGGGGGGGTAAGGGTTCCACATGTGTTTTTTCGATGTTTCCCGACCCCCCCCCCACTGGAAATCGAGGGTAAATCTGAGCCTTCGGGTTGGGTTGGGGTAGTTTGGTGGGTGGTGATTTGCCGCCCCCCGATGTGTCCAGGTTGCAAGTCGCCCGAGAAGCTCGGCCCTGTCGGAAGGGGCCCCGGGTCGCTCCCCAGGGAACGGCGGAGCAGGGCGCCCCCGGCCTCCCGCATGGCCGGCTGGGCACCGGGCGCCGCCAGCAGCCACGCCTCGTCGCCCCAGGAGCTGTGGCGCGCGGCCTCTGGCGGGCGGGTGCCCGGGGGGGGGGGGGGGCGGGCGGCTCGCGAAGAGCGCCGCGGAGAGGCCCCCAGGCATGCACGCGGCGTGGAGAAATCACGGCGCACGGTGTTGGGGGGATCTTCATGGGGGCCCTCACCGGGCCTCGGGATCGGAATGAGAAAGCAGCCCTGGTGGGGGAGACCAAAACGCACCAGATACCACCGCTACTCCCCAGACCTCTCCTGGGGTTCGTTTTGACTAGGATTTCGAATCGAATCCAACGGTGACGTCAAGAGCTTCCCAGGAGGGCCAAATTATCCCGGCAAAGCAACCTGTCAGCGATGTGTATAAGCATATCTGGAAGCATTCTCCTTAAGATTCAGGTGAGAATCCAGTTGTAGAATTCTGCTGTTCTCGCAGTCGCAGTCGCATTCGCAATGACAGTCGCAGTGGCAACGGCCTTAGGATCCAATGGAATCCTGAGGATTCCTATGGATTCCTTAGGCATCATTAGGAATCCTAAGGATTCCTTAGGAATCCTGATTCCTAGGGATTCCTAGGGATTCCTGAGGATTCCTGAGGAATCCTAAGGATTCCTGAGAATGCTTAATTATGCCTACGGATTCCGTAAGGATGCCTACGGATTCCTAAGGATTCCTAGGGATTCCTAAGGATTCCTATGGATTCCTACGGATGCCTCAGCCTGCCTCAGTTTCAGCCTCAGCCTCAGCCTGCATCGGCTTGCCTCAGCCTCAGCCTCAGCCTGCCTCGGCCTCAGCCTCAGCCTGCCTCAGCCTCAGCCTCAGCCTCAGCCTCGGCCTCAGCCTGCCTCAGCCTCAGCCTCAGCCTCAGCCTCAGCCTCAGCCTCGGCCTCAGTCTCAGCCTCAGCCTGCCTCAGCCGCAGCCTCCCTCAGCATCAGCCTCAGCCTCAGCCTTCCTCGGCTTGCCTCGGCCTCAGCCTCAGCCTCAGCCTGAGCCTGCCTCGGCCTGAGCCTGCCTCGGCCTCAGCCTCAGCCTCCCGTAGCCTCAGCCTCAGCCTGTCTCAGCATCAGCCTGCCTCAGCATCAGCCTCAGCCTCAGCCTGTCTCGGCTTGCCTCGGCCTCAGCCTGCCTCAGCCTCAGCCTGCATCAGCCTCAGCCGCAGCCTGCCTCAGCCGCAGCTTGCCTCAGCCTCAGCCTCAGCCACAGCCTCAGCCTCAGCCTGCCTCAGCTTCAGCCTCAGCCTCAGCCTGCCTCGGCTTCTCAGCCTGCCTCGGCCTCAGCCTCAGCCTGCCTCAGCTTCAGCCTCGGCGTCAGCCTCTCAGCCTCAGCCTGCATCAGCCTCAGCCTCAGCCTCAGCCTCAGCCTCAGCCTCAGCCTGCCTCAGCTCAGTCTCAGCCTGGTTCAGCCTCAGCCTGCGTCAGCATCAGCCTCAGCCTGCCTCAGCCTCAGCCTGCCTCAGCCTCAGCCTCCTCTCAGCCTCAGCCTCAGCCTGCCTCGGCCTCAGCCTGCCTCGGCCTCAGCCTGCCTCAGCTCGGGCATTCAAAATATGGCACAGGACTGGTTTTCTGGAACACGAAGATCACGAAGTGGCCTACAGTTGTCTCCGAGCATTCAAGATGTGGCCTGAGAATGGTGTTCTGGGAACACGAAGAACACGAAGTGGCCTACAGCTGGCTGCGGGGATTCAAAATGTGGCCTGGGAATGGTGTTCTAGGAACACGAAGAACACGAAATGGCCTACAGTTGGCTCCGGGCATTCAACATGTGGCCTGGGAATGGTGTTCTGGGAACACGAAGAACACGAAATGGCCTACAGTTGGCTCCGGGCATTCAAAATGTGGCCTGGGAATGGTGGTCTGGGAACACGAAGAATACAAGGTGGCCTACAGTTGGCACCGGGCATTCAAAATGTGGCCTGGGAATGGTGTTCTGTTGGCTCTGGGCAATCAAAATGTGGCCTGGGATACTGTTCTGGTGAGTCCCCGGATCCCCCGGATTCCCCCGGCACCCGCCCAGACCCCCCTGGGGAGTCAAGATGCTCTCTTTGACCCCACTAGAAACCTATCAGTCTTCGCTGTTAAGTAAAAATGGGAATCACGGGCGAATGGTGGCGGGGGTGCCTTTTCCTCCTCCGGCCTAGGTCGGGGATCTACTGGCCTGGGTCAATCCACACCCGGGTCAGTCAGGCCCTGGTCAGTGCACCCCTGTTCCTGCAGGATCTTGCAAAATCCCGCACTCTGGCTGACCCCCGATTACATTGAACCCCATCTCTTGAGTCCCGAAGGTAACGGAAAGAGCGAGGTACGAGCGATGACGTTGTGTGTTGGGCGAAGCCCCTTAAGAGGGGTTCCAGGGGGGCGTAGCGCGAGCGTTTGGGCTCTAATGGCCGATGTTGAGGTTTTCCCTAGGGTTTTTGCATGTTTTTCTGGTTTTTGCATGTTTTTCGGATTCTCCCTCAAGACGGCCCACGAGCGCTCCAAGAGAGCCCAAGACCGCCCAAGACGGCTCAAGAGGCCCCCAATAGGCCCCCAAGAGGCGCCCAAGGGGCGTCCCAAGAGGCCAAAATCATAGTATTTCTACAGGAAAACGTATATATTTAGCATCTACGGCTTTGTCACGGCGTTAACGACGGGCCAAGAGGCCCCCCAAACCGCCCCAAGACGGCCCAAGAGGCTCCCAAGAGGCCCCCCAAACGGCCCAAGAGGGCCCCCAGACGGCCCAAGAAGCGCCCAAGACGGCCCAAGAGGGCCCCAAGAGGGCCCCAAGAGGGGGACCACGAACCCAAGAGGGGGACCACGAACCGAAAAGTCTAGCCTATCGCCCCAAGACGCTCCCGGGAGGCCCCCACAGCCCCCCACGAAGCCCCAAGAGGCCCCCAAGAGGCGTCCCACGAGGTCACCAGGAGGCCAAAATCATATATTTCGATTGGGAAACGTGCATTTGTAGCATACACGGCTTTACGGCTTCCGCGGCGTTGACGACGGTCCAAGAGGCCCCCAAGACCGCCCCAAGACGGCCCAAGAGGCTCCCAAGAGGCCCCCCAAACGGCCCAAGAGGGCGCCAAGACGGCCCAAGAGGCGCCCAAGGCGGCCCAAGAGGGCCCCAAGAGAGGGACCACGAACCGAAAAGTCTAGCCTTTCGCCCCAAGAAGCTCCCAGGAGGCCCCCACAGCACCCCAAGAAGCCCCAAGAAGCCCCCAGGCGGCCCCCAAGAGGCCTCCAAAAGGGCTCCAAAAGGGCCCCAAGAGGACTCCCAAGAAGGCCCAGAGACGCCAAATAGAGAGCGATCGGTAACGCAAAAAGTTCTTCACACCAAGGCTCCCAAGAGCGAACGGTGACGGTAAGAAGCTGATAAGACCAAGGCTCCCAGCAGAGAGCGGTGACGTAACAAGTTCTTGACACCAAGGCCAAGCAAAGTCTCAGGAACGGGCGGCAACGCAACAATCTCTGAACACCAAGGCTCCCAAGAGCGAGGGGTGACGTAACAAGCTCTCAACGCCAAGGCTCCTGGTACGAACGGTAGAGTGAGTCATTTCGGTTTCTGTTGCTGCAGCGCTCTTTCCGTTTCTGTGCCAGGCCAGGTGTTGAAGGGGCCCTGAGACACACAAAGAAATACACACAAATAACAAGTTTCCTCATATGTTCCCATATTTTCTTGGTTTGCTTCTTCCCCCCCACTTCCCATAGTTTCCCATATCTCTGGGGAAGTCGACGATTCATTGTGCCCGTGTGTTTTTCCCCTCCTGAGGTGTGGCATTTCTGGGGCCCCTGTCGGCAAGATAAATGGCCGCCGCTCCGGCGGCCCGTGCTCCCGACAGTGATCCGGGCGGGTGGCAATGTCGCGGCCAGCTGGGGGTACACCCTGCGAAATGCTTAAGAAATCATGGGTTGAGAAATTCATAGTCTCCGAACTTAAATAAAAAACCCAACATTTCCATTCAAATCTTAGGATTTACACTGAAACGTTAAGAATAATCGAGACTCTGGCCGAAAACTGAAGTTTTCTTACACATCGCCTAAGGTGTAGGGAAGAACGCCTTCGAGGGGCCCGTTACGCGCCAGCAAGGGCTCCCAAGGGATCCCTTCAAGGCGCTCTGGGGGGGCCCTTGTTGCTCCCGACCTGGGGAAACGTTCGGGGCTTCCGGGGACCCCGTTATGGAAAAACTCGGGAAGCCGCAAGTCGGGGGCCTCGTCTCTCGAGGGTCCAACAGACCTCGTGCTACCACAGGGAACGCCGCATTAGGAACGAAGGGGCGCTCTGGCCACGGCGAGCCTCGGCCACGGTGAGTCGGCTTCCCGAGACGGGTCTGAGGAACAGCCCGAATACCAAAGTCTCCGCTGGGCCGACTGTGGTCCTAACTTCAGCGTCTTGACTGTGCGGCTCCCCCGGCTCGCAGACACAAAAAACGAGACGTGCTGTCTCACACAGCCCGTTGCCATCAAAACTATCCGATGTTCAATAGCATCTGTTGCATTCGGGGTCTGCTAGAAGTGCCCCTGGCCCAAGGCGCCCCTAGGATTCTCGGGGTGGCCCAGACGGCCTCCAGAGCACCCCTCACGAGGCCCAGAAGGCCCCACTGGCTCCAAAATGGTTCGAAAAGCTGGGGGCACCTTGGACCAGGGGCACTTCTAGCAACACCCGATACTTCTAGCAACACCCGATACATGGCAACAACCAAACTGCTTGACGCGTGATGCTCCGGGTTGATGCAACGGGACCTTTGCACAAACGAGCGAACTGCGGCCACTGGGCTCGCGATACCCTCAAATTCTTCGCCCTCCTCCACCGGACCTGCCCATGTCCGGAGGGTTCCACAGGGGGGGGGGGGTTGGGGGAGGGGGTTTTCCAGGAGGGGCCCCCCAGGGGCTTCGCACCCCCTGTTTTGACGAAGTTCCGAGGCCCCCTTGGGGGCTCTCTGGAAAAACTCCCTCCCCCAAATCCCCCTTTGGAGCCCTCCGGCACGTCCTGTCCTGCGATGTCCTGGCGTCCTGCGCCCTCCGACCTGTTCTTAACACTAAGTCGGGCCTGTCCCCCTACAGGGGGATTTTGGGCGAAAAATGAAAAATTACCCCAAAACTGGTCCAAAATGGACCAAAAGTGCTCAAACACAGTCCCCTGACTATGTTTTAACTATTCTTGACTATTCCTCCTGCAGAGGGGCAGGCCCGACGTAACCTTGACAGCGCGCGCGGTCCGCGCGAGGGGCGAGGCCTCGAGCTGCGGTCTCCCCGGCGCGCGGAGCGCGCCAGGTGCGGCGCCGGAGGCGCCGCCAGGGGGTTCTGGCGCAGATCCATGAAGGGGCCCTGGGACACATAAGCAATGAATAGGCACAAAGAACCCGATTCCCCATATTTGCTATATTTTCTGGGTTTTGTCTTCCCCACCACTTCCCACATGTTCCGATATTTTCTGAGGAATCGATGATTCATTGTGTCTCTGTGTGTGTTCTTCCCTCCTGGATCCAAGAAATCCGCGCGGAGTTGCAAGAGTTTATGTTCACGCAGTCGCTCGTCCTCGATCCTCAGAATCCCACCTGCACGGGCTCCTCCACGCAGGCCCCTTGCCTCCCGAGCAGCCCGCCGCCGTTCTGGAGGGCCGCCGCCGTCGGGTCCCCCCTGGTTGTGCGTGTCGCAACTTCCCGGGCCCTGAGAACGGACTGAACCCGGACCGACGAGACCGCGGAGAAAGACCCGTCTTACGAAGCTGATGCAGGCCGTGGCGCCGAGACGACTCCGTGCGTCCCAACGGGACGGCACAGCGCACGGGGAGGCCGCCGCTGTCCTGGCTGGGCCTCCTCCGAGCCTTGCTCCCATGTGGCAGCGTCCCTGCCCCCCCCCGACCGGGCCGCACGGTCCGAGGCAAGGTCCGAGGCCATCCGAGGCCCTTCCGAAACTATCCGAGGCCATACCGTGGGATGTCCGAGGTCCTTCCGAGGCCGCGAAACCTGCTGTTTGGACGCCCGAAATGGGTACTGAAAGAATGGGCACAATGCCCAACAACAAATGCTGTCCCAGACCAACAGCGGCCGCTGTTGGGCGGGCGGCCTCCTGTCTCGAATGGACACAGGCCGCGGCTGCGCGGACAGCGAGCCCTGTTCAGAACGAACAAGAACTGCTGTTGGGCATCGTACCCATTCTTTCCGTGCCCATTTCGGGCGTCCAGATGCTGGGCGTCAGGAGAATGCCACAAGAGTCAAGACAAAAGCCCCCGGCAGACTTTCCGCGAACACCCTTGCAACAAAGATCCCTGCTAACGAAGCCATGTTTTGCCACGAGGGCGACGGGTGCTGATGGAAACGGGCACTGAGGCTAGATTGCGGGGTTCCTCCCGAGGATCATCTTTTCATCCTGAGTCGTCTGTTTGAGGCTCCCGGGGCCATGGGAGGGCCTGGAGAACCCGAAAACGCAAAGCGCGGAAAACCTGCAGAATCCGCTGCCCTCAGAAGCCGGCTCCATCATGGCGACCTACAGGGCAGACAGCGCCTTTCCGCTGCGAGTAGCCCATAGGGCGGGTATCACCCGCATTCGCCCGGGAGCCTCGCCGCAGACATGGACAACAGGCGCCCCTGGATACGTATACTGGTCCATCTAGCGTCGCCGATATTCGCCTCCGACCCTCTGGGCGCCTCTCGTCGCCCAGAGATCCCATCGTCCCCTGGCGTCTCCTGTCGCGGATTGCTGCCTACTGGGCCGTTCGTCCCTGTCGTCGCCCCGACCCTGCGACCGACCCCCGCTACTAGAGGCCTTCAAGATGAGGTCCGAGTAGATGGGGTCGGAGGATCGCGCCGCATCGCTGATGCATCGCCGATGCATCGGCAATGCATCGGCGACGCATCGGCGATGCATCCGCGACGCCGGCGTGGGGAAAAGCGGGCCCCACATCGAGCCGCATCGCTGATGCTTGGGCGATGCGGCCTTCTCCGACCCCATCTACCCATGGTGCAAAGATCCGATGTCGTGATTTTTCAATGCGCGGTCCCCGGAAATCTTGACCCATTCCCCAGAACCGGTTTTCCATCCTGAGCCATTTTCTGACGGTCCCGCGGCCCGGCGAGGGCCTCTAGAGGCCGACTTTTGCGAGGAATATCCGTCTTGCTTTTTTCAATGCGTTGGATCTCTGGGTACAGTCAAAAACCTTAGTAAGGACGCGGGGTAAGGACGCAAGACCCTTGGAAGCCGAAGTTGGGATTCTTGGGGCGGCGGACGACGAACACCTGAAGGACGCAAGCGCAAGGAGGAGCAAGGACGCAAGGGCACCCTGAGCAAAGTCGCGCGTCCTTGTTCGGGTTTTTGACTGTACTCCGACCCCAACTGCGCCAGGCGCCGGCGCGGGCGCCGCGGCCGCGGCCAGGGAGCTCCAGGCGCTGCGCAGCGACGCCGTGGCGGGCGCCGCGGCCAGGGCGGGCGCGGCTGGCGGGGGAGGAGGAGGAGGAGGAGGAGGAGGAGGAGGAGGAGGAGGAGGAGGAGGAGGAGGAGGAGGAGGAGGAGAGGAGGAGGAGGAGAGGAGGAAGGAGGAGGAGGAGGAGGAGGAGGCCCAAGGACCGGCGGGCGCCGCCCCGCCTTGGGACGGCACCTCCTGCCGGCGGACGCCGGCGGCGCCTCGGCGGGGGCGCCGCCGCGCCGCCGCGCGGGCCCTCCGGCGGGGCGGGGGCGGGCGGCGGGGCGCGGGCCCCCCTCCTCGGCGCGGGGCGCCGTTCGGGGATGGACAGACCCCCCTTTAGTGAAAACGGCCCGAGGCCCAAAGCTGGCGGGCGCAAGCCTGAAAAAGAACGGCCACGGCGCCCTCTCGAGAACCGAAGACGGACAATTCACTAATCGACGTGTCACTGTTGGGGGTTCTGTCCACCCCCGACTCGTTGAGGAAAATCCTGGAGACCTCGCGCGGCAACTCGAGGCCCGATGTACGTCGGATCCATGTCGGGCGCACGTCGGCTTCACGTCGGACGACGTCGGATTTGCGTCGAATTTACGTCGGACTGTCTCCGGAGCATCGCCGCGCGAGCGTCGACCCATAGCTTACGGAACTGACAGGTGGAGCAGATCATACTACTATTACGCGCCGCGCGAGGCCTCCAGGATTTTCCCCATCACATACCTATCCCCACTGGCGTGGTCTTGGTCCCTCTGGCTGGCTGACCCGCCCAGGCGGAGATGTGCGCCTGTTCCTTCGGGATTCGCGGGGCTCATCCCAACCTGGGAGGGTGGGACGCAGAGAAGGTGGCCCAGTGGGGATGGGAACAGGTTGGGCGATGCAGAAAGCAGCGGGGTTCAACGATGGGATTGCTACGCCTTGTGATGAGAGCTTGATGCAGGGGGGGAGGGCGGCCTGCGATCCAAGTGGAGAAGCAGCCGGGGGTTAGCGGCAGGGCTGACATACCTTCGGACTAGACGACATGACGAGAATAGCACATCCCTGGAATCAGGAAAGAAAAGTAAAGGCTGCCGCTCACAACCTTTCTTTAGGGCAACCACGGTGAGAATGTTGCAGGTACGTGTGGTGAGACTCGCCTAGTGTATCCGAAGGCGCCCCAGAATTCCCTCGTGGTGCCAACGAGTACCTGCGCCGTCGATGCTGGAGATACGAATGGTGGACCACATTGACCACATGATCAATTCGAAGTGTACGGGGTGTAGGATACATCCTGATTATCGGGGGTCTCTCATTCTTTCTCTCTCTCTCTCTCACTCTCTAACCCTCCCTTCCTGCCTTTCTTCCCCCTTCCAGGATACATCCTGATTATCGGGGGTCTCTCATTCTTTCTCTCTCTCTCTCTCACTCTCTAACCCTCCCTTCCTGCCTTTCTTCCCCCTTCCATCCCGTTCCCCTCCCCTTGCCCCCTCCAAACTTCACCTGCCCCTGCCCCTGCCCCTGCCCCTGCCCCTGCCCCTGCCCCTGCCCCTCCTCCTCCTTCCTCCTCCTTCCTCCTCCTCCTCCTTCCTCCCTCCTTCCTCCTCCTCCTCCTCCTCCTTCCTCCTCCTCCTCCTCCTCCTCCTCCTCCCCTCCTCCTCCTTCCTCCTCCTCCCCTCCTCCTCCTTCCTGCTCCTGCCCCCCACACGCCTCCGAGGGCCCTCCGCATCTGGCCCGCGGCGCCCGCGTCGGCGACGGCCCTCCAGCAGAGCAACGTTTGGCGCAACGCGCACCTCTCGAGCTCCGCCTCGGGGGGTGTTCCGCTCCGCCTGCTGCCGATCCTCCCTCAGCCCTCCTCCTCCTCCACCTCCTCCTCCTCCCCTCCTCCTCCTCCTCCTCCCCTCCTCCTCCCCCGTCCACCTCCTTTTCATCCTCGTCCTCTCCTCCTCCTCCTTCTCCTCCGCCTCCTCCTCCTCTCCTCCTCCTCCTCCTCCTCCTTCTCCCTCCTCCCTCCCTCCCTCCCTCCCTCCCTCCCTCTTCACTCCTTCCTCCTCCTCCTCCTCCTCCTCCTCCTCCTCGGCCTCCTCCTCCTCTACCTCCCTCGCCTCCTCCTCCTCCTGGGTATGAGCATTTCTAACGCTGGAACTGAAGCCCCCAGGGGCCAGGGGGGTGTAGTGAATGAGGGTGGGGGCCATTCCGAACGGCCACTTCGGCATCGCTCACCGTCGTTCGTTGCCGCGTTCGTCGTCGCCACAGTCGTTATGTCGTCGTCATCGTCTTTGTCTCAACGTCGCAACCGCCTTCTTTCGCCATCGCCGAAGGAAGAAGGAGCAGAGGAGCAGAGGGGAGGAGAGGAGGGTTTTGCGATTCGCACTCCGCCAACACAACGCTGCAACCGAAGGCGCCGCGGTCACATGACGCGGACACGACCACATCCAAAGGCGCTGCGGTTACGCAGCGCAAACACCACCAAGCGCCACCGAAGTGGGCTTGAACCGAAAATAGCAACGGTGGCTTCGAGGAGGAGGAGCAGGAGGAAGAGGAGGAGTGAGGAGGAGGACGACGAGGAGAAGGAAAAGGAGGGAGTAGGATGAGTGCTGAAGCCAAACCACCGTCCCCATGGCCCGCCACGGGCCTCGCCAATCACATCGACTTCGACTTGAAACTGTATCGATCACCTTGGGATTCGATGAAAACCGTAAGGGTATCTTGAATAGCTTTGGCTGTCGGGCCGTCGGGCTGTCGGGGCCCTCGAGGAGGGAGGAGGAGGAGGGAGAGGGGATAATCAGATAGCATCGGGGAGGAGAAGGAAGAGGAGGAGGAGGAGTAGAAGAAAGAGGGCGAGGAGGAGGAAGAGGAGGAGGGGGGAGGACGGGGAGGAGGAAAGAGGACAAGACGGAGGAGGAGGAAGGAGTAGGGGAGTAGGGAGGAGGAAGGGAGAATGATGAGGAAGGAAAAGGAGGAGTCAGCAGAGAAAGGCAAGAGACGCGAGGCAGGGCCCCCCGCGCCGCGCTTGGCCGCCTGCTCGGTCGACTCGACCGCCAGCGGGGCCGGCGGGCCGGCGGGTCTCTCTCTCTCTCTCTCTCTTTCTCCCTTCCCTTTTTTTTGTTTCGTTTTATCTCTCTCTCTCTCTCTCTTTCTCTGTCGCTGTCAGTCTGTCAGTCGCAATGCACCCTGGGACCCTGGACTCTGGACCTGGACCGCTGACGCGACGATGAATAGATGATAGATGAGGGTGACGATGACGATTTGACGAGTCGACCTTCTCGAGTCTCGAGCGCTCGAGCGGCGAGCGGCCCTTTGAGTGGGTCCGCTCTCTCTGTCACCAACGTGCCGTAGATTCAACTGCTAAAGCGTGAGAGGGGATGAGGTGGGCCAGGAGGAGTTCGAGGCGGAGGAAGGGGACGGAGGAAGAGGAAGAGGAGGAGGAGGAAGAGGAAGAGGAGGGAATCAGCTGCTGTCCTAGTTGGCTCAAACTCAAACTCTCAAACGATTGGTGGACAGCGAGAGCGAGCAAGAGCATCAGCAGCACTACGGGCCTCGCAAGGCCCAAAACAACAGCGTCAGGCGGCCAGCGAAAAAGAAACCTGTTCGTCACGAGTCGACAGCGTCGTCGAAAGATCCTGGCGTGCGACCCCGACCTCGCCTTCAGAGGCAGGTCGGCCTAGTCGGACCTAACCCACATGGCCCAAAACTAGCAGAGCACGCCCAGGGCGGACGACTGTCGACCTGTCGACTGGAACTCTGGAACTCTCATCCTCATCCTCCGTCCTGCATCCTCATCCTCATCCTCCCCTGACTCCCCTGATCCCTCCCTTGACCCTTAACACGAGCAGGAGTGGCTGCCCTGGCGCTGGTAGGCCCAAACAGCCTACTTGAAGAGGTGGGCGCAGGGCTTCCACTTACCCTTCAAGTCCTTCAGGTCCTCGGCTGCGACCTGCTCGGGAGTGGGCGCCTTGGCTGGCGGCGCGGTCTCCTTGGTGATCATCGCGTCGATCTTGGGGCGAACCAGCTCGGCGTTGCATTCGATCCAGTCTGCATCGGGCACCAGGCTGTGGAGCGTCACGTCGGTCACGACCTTGATCTGCACGCCCGCGTTGTAGACGAACTCGTAGGGCACTGTCGACTTGACGACGCTCATGGTGACTGCCGCGCTCTTCGTCGCAGTCTTCACGAGCCAGGCAATCTGCAGAGCGTCGGGGTTGTCAAGGCTGTCGTACTCGCTGCCGCTGGCCACGAAGAAGTGGACGCCAAACGCCTGGCACAATGGCAAACTCCCGATAACTGGCAACTGCACGACGCGGCCTGAGAAATTCAGGCGCAAGTTCTTGGGCATAGCCTCGGCCATCAACCTCAGCGGCTTGGCCTTGGGGTTCACTTTGATGCTGTCCAAGCGCGCGTCTGGCCTGAAGAAGGTCTTACCGTCGTCGCTCACCACGATGCCACTGACCTGCTGGAGCAACCACGCCTCCAACGACTTGATGAAGGCCTTGATGACGGCCCCGCTGGTTCCAGATGAATGGTGAAGCTTGAGCTTGAGGGCTGCAATCGAGACCGTCGCGTCCTCCTCCTCAGGCTCCGCAGAAGCAGCAGCCGCAGCAGCCGCAGCAAGGAAGCCACGAGTCTCTGGAGCGGCAGCCGGCGCTGGCGTCGGCGGCGACTCCGACTCCGCCACGTGCGAAGGGGAAGAAGCAGAAGACGTGGCCGCAGCAGCTTTGAGGAGGACTGTCTCGAGTTTCTCCTCGTCGTAGGTGCCCACGAAAACTGCGTTCACGCTGGAGTGGCTATTCACCCACTGCTCTCCGGTGATCTGCGAGCAGTCCATCATCCCGATGGCGTCCATGCGGTTCGTGATCTCGAAGACGTGCGCAGTGCAGTCCTCCGTCGTAAGGCGCGAGGGCCCGCTCGCCATCGTGTTCAAGATCTCTCGAAGGTAAGATGCCCGAAGGCGAATGAATGCCTGGAGCGACTCCCTGTCGGCGATGGCCCCGTAGGAGAGCGCGCTGAGCGGCGCCAGCGGCTCCTCGGCAGACAGCGCGGCCACGCCCCAGATGAAGTGGAACATGCCCTTGGGAAACACCGTCGAACACACTTCGAACACTACGAAGAGGAGAGTCCTCAAGGGCACGTGGGAGTCGATGATATCGACGGAACAGCCCATGTCGTTCATCCGCCGGCCGACCTCATGCTGGATATTAGCGAAAGCTGGTTGGAGGGCGGGCTTGCTCTTCATGTTGTTCATGCTAGCGAAGGTGGTCACCCCCAAGATGACGGTCTGGCTGTTGAACGCACCGATGATAGAATCAACCTTAGTCTGGATGAGGTTGTCAGCGACAGCAGATGTCTGGAGGGGGACGCCATCCTCGTGACCCAAACGCGCAGTCACTGCGTCGGCCACCTCGCTCGAAGAGGCATCAGCTGACACGTTCGGAAGCGAGTTCCTGTAGAAGACCATGTGGGACTTGATCACCTCCTGCTGCACAGCAGGTCGCACGTTGGACCACGCGTCGTACTCCTGAGAGGATTCGCAAACAAAAAAAGGAAGGGCGGAGGGAGAGGAGAGAAGGAGGAGGAATCACGAGAGCACGAGCGAGGGAAGTTGGGCGAGAAAAGGGCGGAGGGAGGGGGATCACGAGCGAGGGGGGACCGATGAAGTGACAGAGGAGGGAACGTGATTCGGAGGAGGGAGAAAGAGGAGGGGAAGGGGGTCGGAGGAAAAGGATGAGGTGGAACAGGAGGAGGAGGAAGAGGAGGAGGAGGAGGAGGACAGGAGGACAGGAGGAGAAGAGAAGAGGAGGAGCGGGGAGAGGAGGATTGTCCTTGCCGTTGATCTCGACCTTCCCTTGAAAGCAGAAGGTCATGCCGATGCTGATCGCGCGACCGACGGCATCCCAGTCGATGTCGCCCTTCTCGAGGAAGTTCAGCGGGAAGTCGACGCAAGCGCAAAGGTCGTCGAGGAAGTATTTGTCCCTGCCGTCGGGGGCCCCGGCCAAGTCCTCAGTGGCGGTGAGGACTGCTGGTTGCGAGGCCTTCTTGCTCTTCGCCCTCTTCGCCGCAGGAGCACCATCACCTGCGTCAGTGCCCCTCTTCTTCTTCTTGTCCTTCTCGTACTTCATGTGCACCTTGCTCAGGCCAGGCGCCATGGGACACAGCAGGCGTTGGAAGAGGTTCCTGGACGAGTGGTCGCGCATGATCCACTGCACGTCGATCCGGCCAGGCTTCTGCAGGAGTGGCATGACGAATTTCGTGGCCTCCAGCAGAGATGCCTCGTAGAGTTCTTTGGAAATGTAGCCCTTGAAGTTGTGCTCGAACAGCTGCGTGACCTCCATCAGCAGGGTCGCCACCGCCGAGTTGTCAAGCGATACGTTGGTAAAGTCGCACTCTTCCTCGGCGAAGGAGGTGAACGAAGACAGCACGTTGTTGGACATCATAGTGTGAACAGCCTTCTTCATGTTGTCGTAGTGCATCCAGTTCTTGAACTTCTGAGGGAAGTTCTCCTTGATGAAGCGCTCGTACACTTTCTCGTACCTGAACTCGCCCGCTGTCGGGCAACTCCGCACTGAGATGTTGTGGGTGGCGCGGTGGGCCGCCCACTGTGCCTCGGCATTCGCGATGTCGCGCAGGTTCTCAATGAAGTTGTATGTGGAGCCGTGGTGCCACCGATTCGCCTCCGACTTGTACCAGTCGATTGAATCGTTCGGCATGCGCCGGCCCCAGATGGTAGCGCCCTCGAACCCGTTGAGAATGACCTGGACGATGTGATCGTTGGTGGGCTCCTGCTCAAAACCATGATAGAACGCCTCCACC